GAACTAGAGGAATATGTGTTCTGTCAGTGCTATGCTGCACCCTGGCTGACTCATTCCTTCCTTGTGACCCTTCTGTGAGGTAATGTTCAATTGTTAACAGATGGGCTTTCAGTCTCCACTCCAACCTCCATCATTTGCACCAATTTATTTTTGATCTTCTGATGCCTGATCCTGTTGACACTTTGTGGTCACACAGGTTGGTGTGTTTCTTCCATGTGGGCTTTGTTGCTTCCCTGCTAAATGGCCGCTTGTTTAACTTCAAGCCTTTAAGATCCCAGACTCTATATCTTATAACAGCCAGGCACCATCAGCTTTCCTCACCACATTTGCTTATGCACCCAACAATGAGGAATTTTTAAGAGAAAAGTAAAAATGCAGAGAATAATATATCCTGTAAACTGTGGGGTTTTTTTTGGGGGGGGGTGGTGTTAAAGCAAATATCAATTAAACTCTGTATACTATTGTTGTTCCTATGAACAAAAAACACTGCCCCATCCTATGCCATCCTCACGATGTTATGTTTGAGCCACCACTGCATCTTGTTGAAAGCTTTTCTCTTTTTCACTGACCCTCCACTTTACCCAGCATGATATCCTTCTTCAAGGACTGTTCCCACTGATAACAGGTCACAAGTATGTGGCACATAAACATATGAAGGCACTTCAAAAACTTAGTGGAAAATTTTCATGATCTTTTATTCCATTTCCCCCAAAACTTTTGAAGCCTTCTTATATCTTTATATGATATGTGAACATGTTAACACAAATAAACAAAGGGTTAGACTGAAATTGCATTGTGTGAAGAAGCAGAAGACAGTTATACCAGGAATATTGAACTGTCAGTAGGCAGACCAAAATTGACTTAGTATATCAATCCCCTACTTACATATTATTCTGGCAGATCTGTGATTGACATTGTCAGTGAATAGTATTATAAATTTTGCATGACAACCAACTCTCATTGTTTATGTAAATAGCATCCACTCATGTAAGAATTTATTCTGTGCAAGTGAATAATTGAGGTATTGGGATATGTAGTTAGCCTACACTTGTTCAATCTCCCTCTCTCAACAGTGTCTTAAAAATTAATACCATGGCTACACAATGACATTATTAACAAAAGATCCTTACCATAAATTAACAAGGAGGTCTCTAAGGGGAGTCAGAGGCAGATAAAAATCATAGATCCAGGAATGGATTTTGGGCTCACACTTAATCCTAGCTCCAATTAGTTCTTCCGACATGGCCCTGCCCAATACTAGCCTTCATGAAGGAAGCACAAGAAGATATGGGTGCTTTAGCAAATTGTACTGAAGAAACTAGATAGTGCCCAGCTACCAGATAGAATAGTGTCTGGGGTCTTAAACACTTGTTTCCAAACAGCACCCATCTAAGTGAGATGTCAACTAAGTCCACATAGAAGCACACCAACAACCGTGACCAAGCATTATAAATTATATAATACAAAGTTGAAGGAAGGAATAGGATCAGAGTTTAAATTGTGAGATTCTGGTTTGCAGAAAACTATGGATGGCAGTGGAAACCCAAGATACATTTGCGAGATCTACATAAGAAATATGCCCCTCCTCACCCCCCACTATCACAACCTCAATGCCCCCTCCCAATCTAGACAGGAGCATGTCCATAGGTACAGGCAAGAGATAAAACTCACAGCACATGGAGCCCAGGTACAGGAGTGGGAACAGAGATACCAAAAGGGTAGGGGGAGGGTGGGAAGGGAGGAAGGCACCGATCTTAACAAATAGCACATAACCACACACCCAGGGGGAAGAACAACAGAAACCAGAGGGTAAGGGAGGCGGCGGTTGGAGTGAGATTTGAAAATAATTGACAATCTACAATCTATCGGGGTGCCACGAGGGTTAGGGGGGAGGGGGTAAGGAGAAGATGATCCCAAGGGCTTAATGGAAAGTAAATGTCTAGAAAAGAATGATGGATGCATGTGTGAATATGTCGGATACGATTGATGTATGGTTTGTAACAAGAGTTGTAAGAGCCCCCAATAAAATGGAAATAAATAAATAAAACTAAAAAAAAAAAAAGAAGAAGCCTCTGTTGATTCCCTCTAACCATAATGGAGGGATGGGAATAAACTGGTTATCAAACAGAGAGTACTGGAGAGATGACTACAGTAGATCAAAAATTATAAACCTGACCTGAACAGTTAAAACCCTGTTACCCGCTCTCCCCTCTGATACACTTGGGGCTGGATCTGGTTTTCAATATTTTTTTGATTTTTCTTTTTCTTTTTTTCCATATCAGGGCTTATCTCTGTTGTCTTTTGTTACTATGGGTAGGTAGCCCTTCTTGAATCTTTGCTGTGTTTCTCTGTTTTTCAGTAAATGAAACCCAATGAACTCAGAGAAAACAACTAAAATAAGGGTTCAAGGGGGGTATGGTAATAGAGTGGGGGGCGAGGGAGAAGGGGAGTTCAAGAAGGAAGAAAATGTCTTGACACTAATTTTGGTAGCAATTGTTCAATGCTGCTTGATGTGATTGAACTATGGAATGATATGATGTCTGTCTGGATTGTCTAATAAAATGGTTTGGGGGGGCGGAAGGGGTGTGCAGCAAAAGAAATCAATACTTTAAAATATTATTTTTATGTATACACAAATTAATAAAATCATGGACTCAGATGAATATATACTAGTGATATTCTGTCAAGTAAAGCAGAAAATTGCAAAGAAATTATATAACCGTCTAATAAAATACCAAGTAATGAAACTTCCACATATATATTTTTTTTAATCTCTCTAAAATATAGCTTTTCACTTGATTCAGGAGAAATTATCTATATCAACTGTCTGTATGCCTTCCCAGATCATTAAAGCTCAAATTCAATTTCACATTCATTTAAAAAAAAGGCAAGATGCAGGGCCTTATGCCCTATCGCATAAGGATATCTGTGCTTCTCCCACTTAGTCAGACAATCCACAGAGATAGAAGGGAGCAGACATTAGGCAGAATGCCCAAAGTTAACCTTTGTAACAGATTATGAGAACAAGTGGGGCAGTGGTAGCAAGGGTATAAGTCCTACATGCTAGAGGAGACAGGATGGCAAAGAAGATGTTAAGGAAGCTAGACAGGCAAGTTCTGATCAAAGTTTAATCATTAAATTAAATTTCATGACTACTTGGATTAGAAATATATTCGATGATTACAATGTTATAAGTGCTTTATATACATTCTTTACATGTATTAAATTATACATAATAATTTATTTCATCCCAACAATTGCATAGTAGGTTCTACTATTATTCTCACATTAAGCATAGACGGTTGAAGCTTTAGTATCTGTCTTAGTTCTCTAGAGCTGCTATAAAAGAAATCGCCACAACTCTAACAAACGGAAAACTACTCCCTGAGTTTAGGAAGCTAGAAGTCCGACCTTGGGGTGCCAGCCCCAGGGGAAGGCTTGTTTTTCCTGTCTGTTCTAGAAGGAGATTTTTGTCTCTCTGAAGATCTGTAAGCCTAGTATTCCTTGGAGATCTCCATGAGTTTTGGCAAGCTTTCCCTGGGTCTCGGAAGTTATCAACATAGGGACAAGTGCAAATCACTCACTCCTTCTTTCCTCCCTTCTATTATTTCTTGCAAGATAAAAGGTGATGCAGGCCAAAGCCCAAGGAAAGGTCCCTTACGTAACATCAGGCCTGTGGCCTGAGTATGAGTGTCATATCCATCCTAATCCCCTCACAATTAGTTAG